CTGCCTTTGTCTGTCTCCTACAGCTTCTGTCCTCTGGACACCTCCACCCCCAGCCCAACCCCTAGCCTGCTGTTCTCCCCAGGCCAAATCCACCCCAAATGCTACCATTCGAAACCCACCAGAATGTCGCCCCATATGACCTCTCCATGTTATCCCCATCACTCCTCTTCACGTCTGGCTTCCCAGCACTTCCTTCGTGCTGTTCTCAGTGCTGGCCATGGCAGTCCTGTCTGTCCCCATCTGCCCCAGTCCTGGCAGCAGGTGCATTTCTCCCTCCCGCCCCATTTCCTGTCAACCTCTGCCCAACGCTGACCCTGCTGCCTTGCACTCCCTGCCAGGCCTCCCTGGAAAGAGGTCCATATGTGGTTTTCCAAACACCACCCCCTGGAAGCCCCAGCTAGCTGCCTCGCCCTCTAACCCCCAGACCACACTCTTTGAAATCTGCCAGAGGAAGGGCTGCGTGGGTAGCTGAAGAGTCGTCACACTGAATCCATAGTGTGTGTGTGGGCGTGTTTGCTTAAATCCAGACCATGTGAACTGCCACTGAGAACATCACCGCATGCCTCTATTGACCTAGCAATCTGTGTGTGTGTGTGTGTGTGTTTAAATATTACATCTGTGTGTTTTTAAAATATGTTTTTTAAAAATGGATTTGAGAGAAGAAAACAGCAAAGAGATGGAACCCTCCATCAGCTGCCTCATTCACCCCAGCTGGGCATGTATTCTGAACCAGGAGTCGAACCAGTGACCTCATGGTGCACCGGACAGAGCTCAACCCACTGAACCACACTGGCCAGGGCGGTTTTGTTTTTGTTTTCATTTCCTTTAGCTCGCTCTTATATTCTCTGTATTGAACTCCGCTTTGGTCCTGCCTTCTCTAGGAAAGTTCTAGCTCATTCAGATTGTGTTTAGGTGAGCCAAGAGAAGGGGCTCTTTTCTTTGTGGGGTAAACACAGACTCATCCATGGACCAGCAGCAGGCAGGGAACTGGGAGCCAGAGGTGATCGGAGGGCTTCAGTCCCCCTTCCAGGAACCTTGGACATTCTGTGTGTCCCTCCACACGGTGTGTGAATGTGTGGGTAATCCCTGGGCCTCCTGCAATGACCACCTGTGGGGTTCCCTCCCCCATTCTCCTCCTGCTGCCATATGCCCCCCCCCCCACCTCCCGCCCAGCCAATCTTCTCAATCTGGCTGCAATCACGTCAGCCCCACCCAGAATCTCCAGGGTCACCCTTCACACCGCAGTCTACGTGCCCAGCCAAACCTCCCTGCCCTCCGACCTCCTTGTTCCCACACCTGCCCCGCGCACCCCATCCATCCCCCTTTGCTGCTTGGGAAACTGGAGATACTTTCCCCAAGACCCCAAAGAGATATCCCAATGCTCCTGGAAGGTGGACTTAAGCCCTCCCTCCGCCTAGAGCTTCCCAGCCCCTTCCTTCCCGAGCTTATCCCTGGTCCACATCTTGCAGGAGTCCCATCACACAGGCTGGTTCCCTGACACCCTCCGGACTTTAAAACTCATGCCCATGCCGAGACCGGTTTGGCTCAGTGGATGGAGCGTCGGCCTGCGGACTGAGGGGTCCCAGGTTCGATTCCGGTCAGGGGCATGTACCTGGGTTGCGGGCGCGTCCCCAGTGGGGGAGGTGCAGGAGGCAGCTGATCGACGTTTCTTTCTCATCAATGTTTCTAACTCTC